TTATTAATTGTTAAAGATTCGTTGTTTGTCTTCGCCTCTGGCAGTAGTCCACACGCAGGTTGGAATGGCCTGTTTTCCTCCCTTGGTGCACAATCTACTATTTATGGTGTAAAATTGCTTTAATTGTTTATAAATGATTTAGAGAAAATCCTCGTAATTTTCAAAAATTGCAGAATTTCAATCATTTCATCACTTTTCCTCAAAAAGTAAATTTTCTAATTTTTTTTTAGAGTGTTAAAATGTTTCTTTTTTAACAGTGCAATATCGAGATTCAAATTTAAACCTGCAAAATTTGAATAATGAAATGATTGTAAAATTTGTACAAAAGTGAAAAAGCATTTCATTGGAGAAAAAATCGCCAAAGTACTTGGATATCCTTAAGCACATCAATATTTCGTCAGGCAGATAAACAGTTCAAAGTAAATTTATAAATCGCTATAATCTCGGTAAAGCGGACATTAAAAAGTGTGTTACCCAACGAGCGATTAGAAAAATGAGGAAAGCTAATATAAAGAGTAGTACGCATATTGGCAGTGACTGAACAATATAAAAAGAAGTGTTCGAGAGTATCAAGTTGAATAAGTAATTTATGGTGTTATCTCGAGAGAAAAAAAAAGTCAAGATATTGATAATTTTGTGTAAATACCTTTTTTATGTATTAAGAAATCATGTGCAAAATCTCAGATAGCCTAGGAGAAGGACAACAACGGAAATAATTTCTGAAGTTGCTATTTATGCATGCAGTTGAATGGAGCATCGATAATTTCAGCAGTGTTCCCATGTTGCCGACAGATCGATAATGTAGGGAAAACGCTGAAATTATCGATGCCCCATTTAACCTCATGCATAAATTGCAACTTTATAAATTATTTCCGTTGTTGTCTTTCTCCTAGGCTATCTGAGATTTTCCACGTGATTTCTTAATACATAAAAGAACGTATTTACAAAAATTTATCAATATCTTGACTTTTTCTTTCTCTCAAAAAATAACAGCTAAAATTGTTCGTAAGCCCAAGTTTTTTATTTTTTCATGAAATATTTTTCATTTGAATTTCTAATAAAATGAGTTAAAACCTGATAGAAAATCCAATCGAATTTGCAACTAATTCCTCTAGGTTCTTCTGTGGAATGTATTCGTACATAATGTTGAAAACGGGTGCAATTCATCCAATTTTTGTTATTATTAATTGAAGGGCGGTGATATATTTCTGGAAACAATCACTTCAAATGTCACTGATGACGTGATAACTCTGGAATTTCAAAGGTCTGATGGAACACTCGTGACACAATTAATGGACTTTAGAAATGTGAGTAGAGTAAACATACATTATAGTAAAAATACAACAGTGCAAATGAAAATTTAACAATCAATTATGATCAGAAATCGGCAGGAAAATAATTTGCATTATTAATATTTCATTACAACATAAATGATTAATGCAAAAAATTGAATTATGATTTTAGTCGTAATGAATAGTAATACCAAATGTAATTTTCATTGCAATACTAATGAGATGTAAAAATAAAATATGAAGCAAATAATTTTTCAATCAATAATGGCACAAAATTCATTTTTATTATCATATCAACGAAAAATGTAAAACAGAAAATAAATAATAAAACTGAAACGCAATCAATTATTCATTATAATAATAATGGAGAATGGGGAATTGAAAAATACGATGACCTTGCCCAGAAATAATGGAAATATTTCAATTTTCATTTTTGATTAGATAAATACTATTTTTTATTTTTTATAATTACTTCTTGATATGATATTTAAACAATGTGAATTCCCCAATATTCATTCATAATATAATGAAAAATATTTATAAGTGAATAGTGATGAAGAAAAAAATATATAGTTGTGCTGCAAATATTGGTGAAAATAATATTTGTGCCTATCTCTGGTTGTGATGGAATTTTCACATCTTCATCATGTGACAATTGTTCACTGAAATAACTTGCAGGAAGTCCAAGTGATGAAAGCTCTAGTCCTGGGTGAGGAGGAACGAGGTCAGAATCAGTACCAAGTCATGTGTTTTGTGAATCATTTTTATAAAATGGATTTTATATCGTCCGATGCAATGGCCAAATTGCGACAAAAAAATCCAGGCACAATTAGAGTTGCTGATGAGGATCGGGGGTATACAAATTACACTATGGACTTATTTTTGGACGTTTCCAAGTCGAAAATCATCTCTAAACATATTGCCACACTGTGCACTGAGGCAGCTGACTCCACGTATACGAGGAGAGAGGATCTGAAGCAATGGGTTCAGAGACCAGGTGAATATAATTTTCAATTCATTCATCATTGTGAGGAATTTCCTGTTTTTCATGAAGTTCTGAAATTGGGAGAAAATTATTCCTTTCGATCATTCGTTTCTATCCGAGATTGATATTATTTCCTTGAGGGGCAATTTCCAACA